TAAGGGGGAACTGAAGTGACGTGAAAGAGAACTCACCCCCATCAACCCCCTAGGCCCCACCCACCAAAACTCAAAAAGTTCAAGTTGCAAACCCCTACTTGTGATACATCATTGAAAAGACTGTAAAAATGTTATTCAATGGTATAAATAGTAATTGTACAGGGTGAAGCAATAATTGTGAAACTTTTGTTTAAATGGAATATTTAATGAGGTTTTTGTTGAACTGCAAATTTATTAAAAATGTCAATTTAGTAAATGTTCACAGTGGGTTCCGTTGTCCTGTAAAAAATAATACAGACTATTTTCAAATTCTGCACGAACTTTGGCAAATATTGTTTTAGTAATGGCGCGACACGCTATAACCTTGGTTGTTTAAAAAAATCAAAGAGAATAAAATAAAACAAGGCTACACAGTTGCAAACGGTTACTCAGTTTTTACGAGGGAGCTGTGGGTCGTGAGTTGGACGAAAAATACAAAATTAACCTCTTTGGGCGCCAATCAGTTTAGTTTCAATCAGAGATGTTCAAAATGTTAAATGATGTCTGCTATATTATTTTTCATATTCATTAAAACTGATGTTTTTAGAGTGTACATACTGACAGTATGAGCCATAGCTGATATTGGAAAATCACCAGAAATTAATTTAATCGCGAAATAAGAAACATACCATCAAATGGACTTTACTGGGACTCCGAACATTTTGATGTTTCCTGGATGTGAAAATGAATACTCTGAATATTGGTTTGTTCGGTTTTTTTTTATTTTTCTATACAGTGTTTTCACTCTTGAAATAGTATCAGGTAAAAGGTATCGATTATTCTGTGTTGTAGCATTTCAAATGCTACAACGCTTGCGTAATTCTTTGTCGCAATTCCCCAAGTGACGCAACTTGAGTTTTATAAACAACTGACTTGAGGTGACCCCCCAGAAAAAAGTATGGTGGCGCCAAATCTGGAGACCTCGGTGGCCACTCAATGGGACCTCTACTTCCAATCCATTTGTTCGGATAAGTAGTATCCAACCAGTGCCTAACTGAAGCTGCATCTTGTTGGAGGTGCAGCAAATCTTCCTCTACAGGTTGCCTTGGTTGCCTTAAATTGTCTGGTATGAACAAGGGACCAATTATAGCATCGCCTAATATTCTTGCTCAAACATTCAGTTTTTCAGGATATTGAGTGTGACCTTCTCTGAATCGATGCAGGTTCGCATCACCCCAGTACCGACAGTTTTGTTTATTTACATTACCATTCAGCATAAAAGTAGATTCATCACTGAAACAAATATTTCTCAACATTCTCGCTTCAACGCGAATTCTTTCAGTCATGAGTTCACAAAACTCCATTCGTCGGTCTGGATTATCATCGCCTAGTTATTGAAGAAATTGTGTTTTGTACGGGTGAAACTTATGTAATTTCAACACCTTTCTAACCGACCCATGTGAAAGTCCTGTCACTGCAGATACTTAACGTGTTGATGCAGTAGGCTCCATTGCAGAATTTTCAAGGACCTCAATTTGAGTTTCTTCATTCAGTAATCTTGGGGCGTTCTTTTTTTTTATTTTACACTGATCCCGTTTCTCTAAACTTTTCAACTAAATCGCGGACGTACACGTGACTTACATTTTTGTCCGGATGCCTTTCATGAAATATTTGAGCTGTTTTTTAAATAACACTGATTCTGGGAGGCAAATATGAAAATTATCTCCGCGCGCTCAGGTATAATGTAAACCATCGTGACAACTACAGCTGACATTTAGAAGTCTCAAACAAACCAAAAATTATTGACTGTGACAAAACCCAAAAAACAGATATATCCAACTTGTTTCGTAAAAACGGCAAATTAAGTTTTATTCAACAATCGACGGACACTTATCATTCAAAATAATAGTCCGGGAGGTAGCATTACAAATAAAAAAGGCATAGTAAGCCGGCTGATATTATAGTTCGTGCAAACTTTGACAATAGGCTGTATTATTGTTCAAAAAAACAACGGAACCCACTTTGAACATTTACTTAATTGACATTTTTAATAAATTTGTAGTTCAACAAAAACCTCATTAAATATTCCATTTCAGCCGAAGTTTCACAATTAATGCTTCATCCTGTACAATTATATTTATACCTTCGAATAACATTTTTATAGTCTTTCCAATGATGTATCACAAGTAGAGGTTTGCAATTTGAACTTTTTGAGTTTTGGTGGTTGGGGCCTAGGGGGTTGATGGGGGTGAGTTCTCTTTCACGTCACTTTCGTTCCCCCTTACTATCCTAGAAACTGTTTCAAGCATTTTCGATATCAACTTTCGTTCTTGAGATATAACCCATTGTAAGTTTCAAAATTGACACACTGTATAGTAACAGCACTGTCGACTACGACAGTGCCTAATTTGTTTTGTTTCACATCAAATCATTCAAAGTAAGCATCCTGTGATGTCTGGCATTAGAAAGAAAATATTACTACAAATTTGTTAGAGAATGAACGGAACGTAACGCAAAGAAAGGGTAGGTTAATTGCTAGAAACGACAGTTGTGCAAGTAAGAGTGTAATAGGGAAATGGTCGGAGTGAGAGGATGTCTGTTGCGATGTGAGATCATTTGGAAGGATTAACGATACTTCCAAATCATTGAAAGGTTAATGAGGGTCATTGAATGAGCTGTACATTTTCGTGAAAATTATGGAAACGTTGTGTAAATGAATACATTCATTTTCTACAAATTATTCATATCTTAACTTAAATAGTACTATTAAATGGAATGTATTATTGATTCTTCAACATTTTATTGTATCCATTTCAAATTATTTTCAGCCATACCATACATACTTCATCACCCTTTCAAACACCCATATAAAAAAATGTTCAACTAATTTGAATAAAAAAAATTTAATGGAGTTAGATCAGGAAATCTAGGTGGCCATTTAATCAATCCTCTACCCCGTGCTATCTAATGATTGGGGTAATTTTGATTTACAAAAACCCTTCGCGACGTCTCAATTATGTACCAAACAACCATTCAATTCCGAACATAAATTTCTTGTTAACTAGTTTAGTGATCCAATAATTCTTCTGAAAAAGGGGTTGGTTGGGTAACAAGATCAATTTTTTCTCTAAGAAACAATTGTATTTTGATAGGCGTCAGTCCATTCAACCTACTGTGTAAGTATATTCGAGACTGGCTTGAACGTTTAAAGTTCATTTCTTTAGATTTGTTTACTGCCAGTCTTCAAGCATAGCCCACTGACTAATAAGAAAGTTTTTCTCTTCTTTCTTATTCAGAGGTATCGGGCAAATTTTGGATATGCAGTTGGTTAGTACCTCGTCCACTAGATAGAGTGACATTTTGTTGTTTGCTCCAACTTAGGAAGAGGAATGAAATACTCTGAAATAATTCCGATTTTCAATTACGGAATATCATTAACTTTAGGTCGATGATGGCCACTATCTTGCACTGATGAGTGGCTAATGAGCCCGAAACCGGCCTGCAAGTGTGTATATGAACACGTGTTGCGGTTTTGCAAACTGTTGGGTGAAATTCCCTGATGACGTGTCAATTGAATAAGTTATCGGCAAATCCCATCACATAACATACAGGATGGCCAGAGTGAAACGGCAAAAACCGTTATCAAATTGCGACAAACAAATTGCGACAATTCTGAAATAAAATAACCTGCAGCAGTTCCAGTGAATAATCTAGGTTTTCAGAGGAAATACAGGTTATTATGATTCTACTCTGAATACATTTAAACTTTTTTTTATGGCATTGTCCTGAACTTAATAAGAGTAACATTGATGGTCGACGGTTAAAAAAACTTTTCTCTTTTCAAGAATTGGTACTAAATGGTTGCTCTCCAAATAATCAGCCAGAAACAGCACCAACGCCTCCTTAAAACGATAATTTTTAAGGCTTTGCAAATACTTTTTCGGTCTAGTTTGTTGAGGTCCCGAAATTTTATACGGAATATCTAATTCTTTTCGGCTTTTACGTTCTGAGTCTTTGATTGAGAGTGATAAATAGCGATCAAAAATCAAATGTATTTCTGTAGCATTTGTTGGACATATTTTTACAAGTATTGATTCTGCTATTTTATCAAAAGGGCCTATCGCTATCCTTTTCATTTCCACAGGCAACCAGCATGCGCATTCTCTTTCCCACAATGGAGAAACTATACACAGCTGCTATGCTGTATCCTTCTCCATCGCATAGGCTGGCTTGTTCGGACTTCTCTGTCACACATATTCGCTTGCCGCAATCTTTTACTTTTTTAAATTCGACAACCGGGATTCTGGACTGATTTTTCGCAGACAACCCTATACCACCGTGTTCAGAAAATAATCTTCATTTTAATGTAATTTTGATGTATTAACCAGACCGGTGCAAGTTACTACTATCGATTTACCTGTTTATACCTGGCAACCCAAGAGTTGGGGCCGGAAAAAATTAGGCAACCCAACGTTTGCATACTCTGTAGACTTTATACTGACGAACGGTATGTAATTTATCTATTAACTACACCAGTGAAATGTTTGAAAAAAAATTTTTTTTAATTATAAAAAAATCATATTCTGAACTGAAATTGTTCAGGCAACCCATTTCCAATATACTTAACGATATATTTAATTTGACTTGAAATACTTTTTATCCATTAACCAGCTCGGTGAAGGTCGTTTTATATCGGGATCTTAGACTAATTGTTCTGATTCACAACTCTCATAACTTGTCTGTTTTTCACTTCAAAGAAAGAGTGGTCATATGATTCTAAAAATTTGATATCATTTCCTACTAGTACAAATAGTACATATAAGGCTCTCCATTATGACAAAGAGATTCCATCTGAAATGTCGTCAATGCATTAACTTTTTTTTCTTTGTTGTATCTCAATGAACTTCAAAAGTGAAATTAGTTTATCAATTTGAACGATTTGTGTCGTCAATATTAACGAATTCATCGGTGATGTGCTCCTAAATTTCATCAGTTTTTATATTCAAAAAGTTCATACTCACCCCAAACGAAAGCAGCCAGGAAATGACACCCGATGATTTGCATTGATGTCGGCCCCATCGCCAGTCTTTGTAACACAACGCCAAAAGGTGATCCAAACTCACATATTTCCACCAAAGCAATTTTTTGATCCAGTCCAAGTTAATTTAAAATTCATCCCGCGCGGATGTGCAGCTCATAACAAGCGCTGTTGTTCTTTTGATTTGTTTTCTCTGTTTTTTCCTCGTCTGTTGTTGCCTCTCTTCAAAGAATAATTATTATTCTCTCTCAGCAACAGTAGTATTACGTTCGGATCAAAGGGGCTTTTTGTTGGATTAGAATCAATCCTTTGTGTTCTCCATACGCCGTGGAATATGGCTGCTAGAAAAAAAAGAAAAAACGTGAATTCATAAGGTTTTCTGCTTACTGTTATTAAAGTGAACGAATGTTTCATTATCGTTGATGAAATGATCCAAAATACGTTCGGATTACGTTTGCGTTTCTCTCAATAATCAGAAAGTACGTGATTTCAAGTGGGTGTACTATGTACACTAATAGATTTTACAATTTGCAAAATGTATGTGTTTTTTGCCGCGATTGATGATAGAAAAAATGTACCTAGTTATCTAAAGTCAATTCAGGTTTCATGTCGTGTTAATTACTCGACAACATGCTATTTGGGAGGTCACTTTAATGGAATGAATAAAAACACTTTTGTCTAATTATCACTAGTTGATTTTATTTATACGACCGGTTTCGGGTTTTACCCCATTATCAAGTATGAAACTGAAATGTGAAATTTGAAAACTCGGTTATGTCAGGAGTTTTCAGGTAAGATGTAAGGACAAGTATTTGAAAGACAGGTAGTTGGGGGAACAAGGATGCTGACTTTAAAGTTCAACACTGAAAATTCTAGAGGATGTTAAACTTATAAATTCAATAGAGGAGACCTACATAAATAGAGTTGCTCCTTAAGGGGTATATATTTCTGGTTTTTAATTGATTTGTTGATTTCCATGACTTCCAATAAATTCATTTTTCCCTTTATCACCTTTGTGTAGGATTTTGAGGTTATCTTTATTCATCTTGTGTTTTGATTCTTGAAGTTGGCACCTGTTTGTTTACTGCAATTTGCTTAATTATTTTTGGAAATTCTTTTCAGGTAAAGGGTTTGCGAAAGCTATGTGTACCATCGTCCTAAACGTGGATAACTTATGTGAGAGTAGACTGAAAGAGTCAAAAGGAATTGTACAGTCTATGAACGTGTTTTTACGGTAGATATTGAATTGAAAACTATTATTGACTCTTGAAATATTCAAATATAAGAAGATAAGCTCCTTGTTTTGTTCGATATCTACTGTGAACTTAATTTTGTTATGCAGACTATCGAGAAAGTTTAAAAATTGATTGATATGTATATTTGAACCATCAAAACCAACCATTACGTCATCAACATATCTGAACCAAAACACAATATGTTTCTGGGAAACGGGGTTATTAAGAATGCGGGTATTTTCTAGTGTGTCCATGAAAACGTCTGCCAGAATGGAACTCAATGGTGAGCCCATAGGGAGACCTGTGTTTTGCAGATAAAAATTATTATTCAATTTGAAGAAATTTTGTTTCAGACGCATGCATCAAGGAATTTGCAAAATTCGATAGTTATATATGGATTTGTATGACTCTTATCTGATATGTATTTGACGGGGGGAAGACATTTGTCTGTTGGTAACATGTTTTTACATCGAATGATACTAGTTTGATATTCAAATTTGATGATTTGTCAGCTAGGTCTACTGAATTCACAAATGTGTTTGAAGGATTAAATTTTGTAAGATCTCTGAATCTTGAATTTAAAAATTTAGACAACTTACTGGTTCGGACATCTATATATGATACCACGGGTCTGGCTGGATGTCCTTCTTTGTGAAGTTTGAATAATCCATACAATTCTGGAGGCTAGGGGTTCATGCGTATCATTTTTTTATATCCCTTGGTATGTCGATTCCTCCATGACCTTCTTAGCTTGCTGGGAATACATTTTGGTGGTGTCATTTTTTAAATTGGTAACATCTAATGTATCCACCACGAAATGAACAAGTCATCAATCACACATAACATATTAGGTCAACGTCTATTCTAAATGGTATTAAAAAATTATTTTTGGCAATTTTGGCAGACGTGGTGTATTTCTCCGTCTTTACTGAGCGCAATCAAGCTAGGATACAGAACATGAAAAACAGGTACAAAGTATATCTGGCTGGGTATATCTGACCTGTAACCTAGGAATAACGAAACGAAAGTCTGTATCTACTGAAAGCAAAGGTTCGAGATGATTATGCTAGTTTACAGCTAATCACCGACTATAATGCCAAAGGCAGTTCTTCGTTAATTTTTGCTCCCTAAATGCGAAAATGATAGTGAAAATTTCTTAACACGTGAGATAATTGAGTTATGATTTTTTCACAAAAATTCAATGAACACACATTCCAAATTTGTTTTTCCTCTAAATTGAGGAAATTGTTTAAAAACTGGCAATGTAGCATCTAAAACAAGTTTAAAAGTATGCAGTTGCCATGAAGGAAACACACGAAAGTATGTCACTTATTATAAATGCAATAAGTTATAATACATATAAGTGGCAAATATGTGGTGATCTAAAAGTCATAGGACTATTACTAGATCTTCAGGGCGGATTCACAATGTTTTACTATTTTCTTTACCTTTGGAACAGTGGGGCAACACAGAGCCATTTATTATCAAGTAAAAGAATGACCTCTGAGAGATAAATACATTCCAGATCAAGCTAACGTGAATAATATACCTCTTGTTAATCCCAAAAACCTTTTGTTACCTCCGTTATACATTTAACTGGAGGGAATGAAAAATTTTGTAAAAGCATTAGACAAAGAAGGTGATGCGTTTGAATATATTTAACACGTTTTTCCAAAATGAAGTGATGTGAAGCTCAAGGAAGGTATATTTGTTGGATCACAAATTAGAAAACTACTAAGTGATCAACAGTTTGATCAAAAATTAGGTAATGTTGAATTAGCTGCGTGGAGTTCTTTCAAAACAATCAATTGTTTCGGAGTTTTTAGGGAACAAGAAAGTAGAAAATTACGAGACATTTGTAGAAGAACTACTTGAAAAGTACTGCAGAATGGAATGTCGCATATCTCTCAAAATCCATTTCTTGGACTCACATTTGAATTTTTTCCCAGAAAATTTGGGTGCTGTCAGTGACGAACAAGAAAAAGGTTCCACCAAGACATGCCGACAATGGAGCAACGTTACCAAGGAAGATGGGATGCAGCAATGATGGGGGATTATTGTTGGTTCCTTATGAGGGAAAAAGATGAAACATATAAACGAAAGTCAACATTTGCCAAAAGGTTATGCACAAAAGACTACTTTTGAATGTTTTAATATAAAACCAATACTACCCGAATCGATTCTTTGAAAGATATTCTTTAATGAAGACCTCAATTCTTTTTATCGGTTTTTGGTATATCCACAATCTGAAGAATAAACAAAGCTAAATCTATAGAGGATCTACTGAAATGTAATAAATGGCAAACTGAAGAGTTCACCCCGAAAAGTTACTACGTCATAAAAACCACTGACAAGTCCAATCAGTCAGAATCTGGTCGTATTTCTAAATTTTGCTCACAAATTGAGAAAATCAGTTGAAAAAAATTGAAAATTTATACTTAGCTTCTTGAGTGGTCAACGTTTTGGACAACAATCTTTTTTCGATTTCACTTTGAAACTTTCGCCTAATTCTATCTGTGAATTCTTTTGACATACTATTATCAATTTATAATTTATCGGGATATGTTAATGAAACAACGCGCTCATTTTTCATGAACTTGAGAAGAACTAAACTTTATTCAAGGTTGTACCGTCATACAAAATTTTGTTCAATGTGAACATAGGTGGCGCCATAGCCATAATAAATGGTATTCTATTTTGAGCATACAACTACAACACATACGTCAAAAAAATGAAATGTCATATACGATAGTCTACATGTATACATATACTAGATGTTTTTTGATAATTACTTCCCGGCAGCGTCTAGTGAGGCGAATTTTGAAGCAGCTCAATCTCAACAAGGCGTCTGGCCCTGATGAAGTGCCCGTCATCGTACTTAAAAAGTTCACAAATGATCTCGCACCAGTATTTTGCAGACTTTTCAACCTGTCTTATGAGAATGGGGTTTTCCTTCTTGTTGGAAGATTACTTGCTTTCAGCCTAGTCCCAGAAATGGCAAGAAAATTCTTCCAAATAACTATAAACCAGTCTATAAATAAATATAAATAAATATAAATAAGTCTATAAATCAGTTATATCACAAATCATGAAGAAAGTCGTGAATCACCATATCCTCAAATATTTGAAAGGCTACAACATCTTGAGCGATCATCAATATGGCTTTCGAAAACAAAGATCAAGAGGTGACCTTTTATCGTATGTCACCCGTATTTGGAATAACGCAATCGAGAAATATGGAGAATCAAGAGCTGGCGCTCGATATTTCTAAGGCCTCTGATCGTGTTCGGCATGAGGGTTCGCTGGTCACACTTAGATGATATGGCTTATCGGATCATTTGTGTGGATGACTCGCCAGTTTCCTGAAGATCGTTTCCTGCAAGTGACCGTCGATGAATATCTCTTGAATAGGTACTCATTCCATCAACGCTGGTGTTCTTCAGGGATCCATATTGCCTCCAACTGTCTTTTTATTGTATGTCAATAACTTATTGGAAAAACTAATAATTCAATATATTGCTTTGCTGACGACAGCACACTTGTTTCGTTTTTCTATTTGTATTCCAGGACATCGGCTGCGGATGCACATCTTCACCGGCAGCAGGAGGTTGCATATCTTAATGAGGATCTGAGAATATGTTTGAATTGGTGTGGAAGTAACCAGGTTCAATTTAATGCCACAAAAACCCAGGCATCGGTTTTCTTCAAAAAGATAAATGTCTCCGAACCGAATATAATATTGTCAGGACAGACAATTTCGCTATCTGCTTCTTGGAGGTTGAAATGGACAACAATATGTCTACTTTCGCAAAGAGTCGGTGGAGCTAGAAGAGAAAATCTTGTTAAATTGATGGATGTAGCCGTTACTACGTGGTGGGAAATCATAACATAGAAAAGATTAATAAAACTTTCTATGTTTTTTACCACTTTTATTTGTAACTAAGGTTACTGCAGTTTCGTCCTATAAGGACATTTCCAAACGTATACATTAAACTCTGTATAAGTTTGTATAAGTTTGAAAATGACCTTATAGGACGAAAGTGCAGTAACGTTAGTTACAAATGAAAGTGGTAAAAAGCATAGAAAGTTTCAATTCTCTTTTCTTC